AATATATAAATAATAAACCATACTTAATATTATCTGAAATATCAGAATAAAGTAAAAAAAAAAAATAATAATAATACTTATTACATAAATCTCATTTACTAAAACAATAAAAAAATTCATTTTATATTATGTTTTATAAATTAAATCTATTCTTCTGTCTTTGAGTAATGCAAATTTGTCAATTATTTTTTTATTAATTACTCTCAGAAATCTACTAAACTGTAGTACAAATTACAAGACACTAGACACTAGACAGATAAGAACCGATATATTTAATTTATGATAAAAGTATTATAGGTAGGTAATAGGTATACACTTACACTAAACAACATTACGACAAACCTACCACTTCCTATTTCTATTAGTGGAAGTTACGTCGCTTCGACAAATGACTAATGGATAATGTTGACAAACTCTGAGGCCCAAATCATTCTGCCTCATCTCATAATAAAATTCCGACTCCCCCCTCTACCATGATATATTTTATAAACGTACTCGTCTGAGGCAAAATATTACTAGCCTCTCGGCACTCTTCGGTTTTCGTCGAGATCGTTCTATCGTTCAACGAATATCTTCGACGTGATTTTTGATAACAGTGACGAAGTATGACGTACTATCATAATAATATTATACACAATAAAATAAATTTTTTTTGTCATTATAATAGTGTATAATAACATTAATAACAAAAAGATTTTGTATTTTAAAATTTATAATATATTATTGAGTATTTTAATATTCTTGAATTTGATTGGAAATAACAATAATTATAGAATATGTCCTTCCTTTTTCTTTACAATACTAAGGTGTGGCTGAGCTTCACTTACCTCCCTTGACGAGCCGCCACTGAGAGCGACATGTGGTTACCTGCTTTTTATTTTTCATGCTAATAAAAAAATTTACAAAGTTTTTCATCATTTTTTTACATTCTTTACATAGGTACTATACAAGGATATTCTAATTAAATAAACTTAGTAATTTTCAATCCCTATTTTTAATTGATTTATGAACTTATAAACTTTCAAAAAACATGATATATTTTGGGCACCAACCGGACAACTTCTGGTAGTCCTTAACTTACAATAATTATTAAGCCTAATATAACTTGCATAAAGGTTATTGTCATATTTCATATGATACAACAAGCAATTTATAAATAAATAGTATAAACAAAATATTATTCTATAAAATTAATTAGTTCATTAAAACAGTTTATATTCTCTCCTGAAAAATTAATGAAAATGGAGTTGACTGGTTGTTGCATTGGACCCTTCAATTAGCCCCTAAATCTTGTAAATATATTTAGTATTTACCAAAGCTAAGGCAGCTAAGGGCATAAGAATCTAAGATATAATTAAATAACCAGGTTTCAATTTCAGTTATTAAGTTTTATTGCCTATTAAATACTTACAAAATAGGTAAATTAAGTTCAGCAATATGAAAAGTGTTGATGTGTACAATCTCTACACTCTATACTGAACTAACTGTTTTTACATAGTGTACATAATACATATATATTGGCGATAAGTCTGATAAAAGTTAATTGTAGGCAAACAGGCCCGAATTTAGAAATATGGAATAAAAAGTTTTAAATCTGATATAAAATTTATTTGATAAATTCAAAATATTCAATTTGTCAATCTGTTTTTTTTTTTTAAATGATTAAAAACATTTAGTCAAGTCATGCAGTTTATTTCTTAAAATTTTGTGAAATTCATTATTTTTGCGAAGTAAAAAGTTGATTCAGTCTTAAAAAATACTTTTTTCATACAAAAAAAATAAATGTTGTTTTTTAATTTTATGAGAATTTTTTCAATAATTTAATAAAATCTTAATATTTTTTTTAAAGTTATTACTTTTAAAATTAGCAAGAAGTTACTTAAAAAAAAATTAGACGGTTAAATAAATTATAAACAATAAACCTTTTAACTTTGATAAATGATTTTACAATAAAAATTAGGTTTACAATTTGGCTGTTTTAAAATTAAAAAATTAAAATCTGAATTAACATTTTTTATTTTCAGCATTAAAAAATAAAAAATAAAATGTTATATTATATGTGCAGCACAAGAGTCATTAAATTATATAAAAAATCATATTGATTACAATAAAAATTATTTCATTTGTGACGTCTTCCTCTACATCTTATACATTTAATTTACATAATATTTATGAAATTGTACTCTGCACCTATTGGTGCATTTTAAATGCAAAAATAAAAAATTAGTAACTCTTCCTAGGTCTTAACATATGTAATATGTAAAGGCAAAGTCTCGTGGATGAAAAACATGAGGACTAAATACAACAAAATCATTTGAATATAATTAATTAAATTGTAACATTAGTATAATAATTGCAATAAATATTTAAAAAAATTAATCTGAAACATTTTGTGATTTTGTTATAACTGCAAACACTGGTATCTCTGCTAAAAGTATTATTATCACTACATTTTAACAAAATTAATGACCAGTAAGCTTATCATTAAAATTTAGAAATAATTCAAACCTTAAAATAACTATTATATTAACTAAAATATTAAAGAAGAATATTTGTTTTAGATTTTTGAGTTCATCGGAAGTGGAAGGTATTCAATTATGTTTGTGTTCTTATGGCGTCTAAAAAGAATAGATTTCGTGTTGTCACAAATGTGGAGAGAATTGAATCTACAAATTAAAACTTCATACCACATAGTTCCAGGTATAACAGTAAATTACAATTATTTAAGAAACTTAATCACGAGAGCTTTGTGGGAGAAGGGGTTAGAGGTCTAGCCATAGACATGCAATTTTATATAAAATTAGATTTAATACAGCTGTTGTAACTTAATACATAATTTAAATCAGTATACAATAGTTAATATTTGAAAAAAAAAAAATAATCTCATATTTAAAAGTGGCTTTATCTCTTTGATGTTTTTAACCGCAGGGGTGGATTTATCTTTTTCATGACTTTAGATACCAAAAATCTGATGTCCCTATAATAAGTGAATAAGTCATATACCCCCTTCAAAATACCTACTCAAAATATTAAATATATAAACAATAGTAGTGGACATCCATTAGAGTTTTTAGACTATTTTTTTAGACTTGAGTTATTTAGCCTACTTTGAAAAAATATCAATGATGTCCACTGAATTATAATAAAAACCTACAATGATAATTTTTATCAATTATAAAACAAAACTATAACCATTGTTTGGAGCATTAGGTAAAATACTACAATTTACAATATTTTTATGTTAAAAAACTTCATTTTTATAATACAAATTAAAAGACATACAAAATAGATGTCTAACTTTAACATTTTTACTCATCTATACTACATCTAAACTCAATTTTTAGGCGACACAGGCTCTGAGTGGACTACACCAACGTGTTCAATATAGTATTATCAAAAAATGTTTTCTATACAGTTGTTTACTATATTTATAATCAAGGATATGAATTTAATGCACTTAAAAACTATTATATGTATGCATATATGCACTAAATTCTGACAAAATATGCTCTAATTTTTCAAAAATAACACAAAAATTTAACTTTTATTTTTATTTTTTTCATTATAATTGTTATTAATTTTAGTTTAAATATGTCCTTACATACGAGTTGATATCAGTAAATTAATTTAATCCCGACTTCAGTAATACAATAGTCAATAATAATTAGGGATGGGCCGATATTACTTTTAACCAATAAACCGATTTGTTATGTAGATTTAAATCCGATAACCGATGTATTCAAAACTTTGAATTTCTATCCAAAAGCATGAACCGATATTATAAAATACCCCATAATACTTACCGATAAGTACTAAGTAGTAACTAGTAATACTGTAATAATCAATATTATTATATATTATTATATTATATAATGATTAAATTAAATAATTAATAAATATTAAATATTAAATAATAATTAATTATTTAATTATATTATACAATTAATATTTAATACAAATAGAGTACACTTGTACATAAATAACAAAGTTAAAAATTTAAAATGAACACTACTTTTTTGTTAGTTGATAATAAATTATAACTTATTAATTTAAGTTATACATTTATAAGTTTTAACTATAGTCTATAAGTATAATTTTAACTTTTTAATAAAACAAATAAAAATTGTAATAAAAAACAAATCACATAAAAAATAATAATTTTCCCTTTTACAGTTATTAAACATTCCTTGTTTAAGTCTTTTTATAACAATTAAAGTGTTTAATTTTTAATACAATCAAATATTTAATCTATGTATGATAAATTGTTTTTTTTTTCATATCGGTTTAAAAAAAAACCTATACCGATAAAACCGACATTGCCAATATCGGTTTGTATATCGGCCCAGACCTAATATACACGTTAAATACCTGAGTAAAACTAGAATAATTTTCGTGTAACTATAAAAGGGCAACTGCCTATAGTGCCTAATGAGGAATCTACATCTAGTTTTGAGTAATGCCATACCATAATTTCCACAGTAAAATAAATTATAATTTTAACCCAACAAACCAACTGAAGATTGCTCAATTGTCCAATTTCAGAAATACGGTATGCCCTGAAGTTGACCAACAACCTGGTGGCGGAAATGGTACACACCGTACGGCAAATACAGTTTTATGTTCTGTCTGACGTCATAGAAACCGAATGGGAACACTTTCGAGAGGCCATTGACAAAGCATCATTGCTGGAGACGGTGATTGATGCGCACAACCAGTTCCTGAAAAACATCTTCAAACGATCCGTACAAACCGAAGAAACTCATGTAAGTCAATAATTTTTCATACTGGCATATACAGGGTGATTCTTTTATCAAACAACACTCATTATTAAAAAAAAGTAGTGACTTTTTTCAAAATATTTTGTTACATAGTTTCAAGTTAAAAAGCCAACGCTTTTATTAAAAAATTATATTTTTTATCCTTATCATTTTTTTAAGTTTTTTTACTTTTTTGAATGGCAACATAGTTTTTTAATTTCATATTCCAAAGCAGAATATTTTTCTAAAAATGTTGATACATAAAAATCGAATTTAGGATGAGTAGTTTATGAGTTATAAGTATTTAAAGTTTAGACAAGCGGAGTAGTAGACAAATATTTTGCGGGATAACCACTCCACTCTGCCAATCTAAACTTTAAATACCTATAACTCATAAACTACTAGCGCTAAATTCGAAATTTTAACTTAATAATTAATAAAAAAAATAGCTTTATTAATTTATGAAATTTTAAGTATAGGTTACCATTTGAAAATCAAAAGTTGATAGTGGTTTATCTAATAAATATAAGGGTGAAAAATATAAAAAAAATAAACAATTCAAGAAGAGTGTAAATCTACAATTTTGAAAAAAGTCAATACTTTTTTAAATAATGAGTGTTGTTTGATAAAAAAATCACCCTGTATATATATATATCATTAACGCAACAAAGAGATCCTCAACCCTACCTCTAAAAATTGAAAGATTAGTACACTCAATATTGATATTTTGTTTGACCTTTGAGTACATCAACCTTAATTAGTTAAATGTTAGTCGGTGAACTTATAAGAATCCTTAAAAGTTCAGTGGTGAAAAATTTAGGCAGTACAAGATTTGTACCCTCTGCTCAGGTGACCGTCTGCTGGATGTCTAATACTGATTCATTGTACTCTTATCATATTAACCTCAATATACTCCCACTTAGGTCAAAGTAGCAGCACAAATTATTCAAGGCTTTATGTTATCTGTGGTGGCAATGTGTAAGGTCGAAGAGAGACGCAGGTGTTAGGGTCCTACCCAATCCATTCGTATAGTTGCAATTTTTTTAAATTTTTTTATTTAAACTCACCTTAGTTAATTACATGTTGGAACTTGTGAAWCTTTATTACTTACATGCAATAAGCATCAGATGCTTGGAAAATACTTGGACTACATACTATATTATTTTAACTTATTTTAAAAAACTAAGAAGTTAAAGACTCAATTTCAAAAAAAATTTAGTTTATTAATTCACATTATAATTTATCTTTAAACTATACATAATACAGTGTGGGCCATTTTTAATATATATTTTTCATCTATTCTTCAAGATGATCCATTTATTTAACATGTTTGTGAGTAATTATACTGTTTTTTAATTGGSTTTTTTCTAACGGGACATCCTTTATAACAACGGTCGGCAACTGGCGGACCACTATCCGAATCCAAACTGTGAAAGATAGAAAACTGAACCATCTACATGTCTTAACATTTTTCTGTTTTCATATAACTTCTATAAAAATATAAAGATTTGACAAAAATTGTTTAAACAAAAATAAAATTGTTTATACAAATAGATGTATTAATTGTCCTTATGTTATGGTTAATAGATGATATCAAACATTTTAACTAATAATGTACTGTACATTTTTAATTATAATGTTACATGTTTATATTTGCTTAAACAACTAATATACCATTAATAGATTTAACAACAATTATTGTTATAAAAATTTGAACTTAAAAACGTTTATAAGCAATGTATCTAGTTTTATGCTTAACTCTTTTTAAATTCCCATAAAAAATATGATGCAAAATTTAAATCTTGCACAATATTATATCAATTTTAAATATAACATCTAGTTCGATCAGTTAGATCTTGCAAGATAACAATTCTTAGTATTCTTACCGATCTTAATTTATGAAAGTGTGGAATAAGTTTATTGACATAATTCTAGTTAGGTAAATACTTTTTCCAAATTTAATTTAATTTAATTTCTAACACAGATTTAACATTGACATTTTAAGATTAAGCTTGACCTCTGGATTTTTCATCACCCTCCAGCTGCATAATCTATTTAAATACACAAATAAAATTAACCTATATTCTGTATGCCTGTTCTATTTATAGGATTTATCAAAGAAAATGCGCCAGTTATTCGAGTCTGTGTTGGAACTCCGAGGCATTCAAGAAAGGTTCCACAGCCAGTCTGAGCATGAACTGAATAGGCGTAAAGACCTAGAAAAATATATTGAAGAGCACGGTACAAACAATAAAATAGAAAAAGATGACTTGGAAACAAAAGAGGCGTTTTTGTTAGAAGTTGACAGATATGAAAACATCATCAAAGAGATCAGTAATTCATATAAGGTAGTAAGATTTATATTTCAATGATTTGTCTCAAAGATAAAGTGCACTCTTAAGTATTTTGACTTGAAAATTGTTTGATTTTATGTTATTTATCATATAACAATATATATTTTATTAAAAAAATATTCACCATTTGATCCAAAATAAAATGTCAGGTACTGCAAAAAGCACTATTTAGGAGGCATCATCATAGGAGTTGGGTAATTAAAGTTGTAATTTTTTATTGTGATCACAAATTGTTATGTTATAAATAATACAATCAAAAACGTTTAAATATTTTGAACTTAGGGTGCTGTAATGATGTAATGTACCTTCAAAGTTGTTTTAACCAAAACGCTATATTTTTATTTGTGCCCTAGATTGATTTGGTGAAATTTTTGAAAAAACTCATTAAAGTTTCGACCGATGATCAGGATGCTTTACACTCATTGGCCAACCGTATCAATTTCAACAAGTACTACAGTAAAAACGATCAAGATTTAGAAAAATGTGCCACCTATATATGCAGATCTCACAAATAGTCATTAAAAATCTGTATACCATTACACCACATGTCTAACATATGTTTCTTTTGATTGTATTAAAATTAACAACTTATGTAACATTAAACTTAAGTAATTTAAGTTTGTATTTAACATTTAATTATTATTGCATTAGTTTATAGGAAATAATAAAAATGTAAGTCAGTTTCGGATTTTTGGATAATTTTTCTTCTAGGTTATCAGAAATCTTTTTTTGGCCATGAGTAATTTAAAAAAAAAAATTACAAAATCTTGATTTTTTAAGAACTGCAATGCCTGCAATGGTTAAGATAAAAAAAACAATACTATACAATATACAGATTATAATAACAATGAAAATAAATAATTTTAAACCTAAAACTACAGAAATTAGCATTTATGCATTTTTATTCAAATACTTAAATTATAAAAAAAAAAAGTCTAGTCTTACTAAACTAAGTCAGTAAGTCTTTGTTACCTATCTAATGAAGGAATTATCAATTATGTTAACCATATAAAATTTAAATGATACTATCTTATGTATAATTTGTCTTGCTCCTCTATCCAACAAAAATATAATTTGACTGTGTAAATGTGTAGGTTATGTACCTATAATGAATTATTGTGACATCAGATTTTAAATGCATAATATGACGATAAAATATAGTTTTTCTTATTCTTCTATTATGAATTTGTTTTAACATTTATCAAACTACTCATACTGGTTTAGTATTGGTAGATACTCATTATATTATTTAAATAGATATGTAAATCAATAATAATAGTGAAAATGTTATGGAGGATTTTTTTAGTCTAAAATTTTTAACATATGTTTATATTTTAGACATACCTGCATAAAATTAGACATAATTTTATTTTTTTTTTATTGATCTTAAGCCAGGCGACTAAGGCCATTAGCTGTTGTAGAGGTTATGAACTGTAGTAGGGGTAAGGTTTTGGTGCGATAGGTTTGTACGGTTGTTACGGTAAGACTGCAAACACATGTATGTGTGGCAAGGTTTTTAACTACTATGAACCCGGGTGGTCTCCTATCCGAGAGCAAAAAAAATTGCATGTAGTTATCATAATTCATAATACCTTATATTATCATCATAGATATACATATATCTGGTTTGAGGATAAATCGTTTCGTTACGCGATTTMATAAAAATTTTAAACTCAAACGCTCAAAACATTTTTCTTATAATTACACTTCAAATTTTCTCTATAGCTACTTGAAGCAAACCTTATGGAAAACTTAGTGTTGAATTTTTAACCTTAGATATGAATACAAACAATTTTATGAATTTTGAACTACAAAATAATTCGCAAATATTCATGATTTTGACGAATTCTTGTCAATATTTGAACTTCAAATGCTAATAAAAATTAGCAATTAATTTTTAGTTTGTTTATCCCGATTATTTAGAAGAATATTAACCTTTTGACACCTAAAGTACCAACTAGATTCACTTTCTGATTGAATAAGGTACTGAAGTCAAAAATCGAAGCACTTTTACTGCCCCAAAACTGCCACAAAAAAAAAATATTCATGGTTTTGACGAATTTT